GAAATGGCTTACAATTGTAGACATAGCAGTCACAAATACAGGCCAGGCAAACCAAGATAAGTGGGTGGGCCTGGAAGGTGAGAATTCCAAGGCAGGGTGCAGAACAGGACCTTGGCACTGGAATAAGGGTGGCAGGTGACCAGGACCTGGGCAGGCACACTGCAGAACCAGTAGCACAGAGCACATGAGCTAGGGCAACAGAAACAGACATGCAGAGCCACCCATTGGGCATCCATTTTTCCCGGCATACTCAGTGGCAGACCAAACAGGCAAACACACAATACAGCAGCCCATTGGCTCAAGTTCAAAGAACCAGAGGTTGGAGGACAACCCAGAAACGAAATCTAGATCGAGTGGGAAACAGAGTGAGTCTTTCCTGAATGTCCATTATATTGGGATTAGGCCACACTCCCAAGGAAACATCCTTTCAATTGATTGGCTGCTCATAACCAATCATCAGAGTTAACTACCAAACAATTGTGAATCCTGGCTCAAGTAGACACAGAACCTAACTATCACACCATCATGTAGTTTAGTCCCAAAGACACACTCAAAAGATTACATTTTAGGGTTTCTAGCCCTGGTGATGCTATGGATTAGGCATTGGGCTTCTCACTTGTAAGGTCAGCAGTTCAGAACCACTAAGAGCTCCTTAGGAGAAAGATGGGCTATCTGCTCCTGTAAAAATTTAGTTGCAAAAACCCTATTGGTCAGAATGGACTCAATAACAGTGGGTTTGGTTTGGGGTTTGTCTTTCCTGTCTTTAGCTGTTTGTTTTTGTGAGATAACAGAAAATGGTTCTTATTTGTGCCAACTAACTGAACTGTTGATAATGCACTCTAGCAAGGTAGTAAATATGCAATGCTTGTTTTGGGTTTTTGTTTGTTGTTTGTTTGTTTGTTTGTTTTGGGTGGTGGGGGCTTATTTCTAATACAAATTAAGAAAGGTTTGAAACTAATTTACCAAAATTTTCTTCTATGAATATTCTTTAAAAAGTGCTGTAAAAGTGTTAGCTACTGCTAACATTTGTTGGCATTATTTTTTATTAAATATTTACTGGTTAAAAACCAGTGGGTCAACTGAACCATACCTGCTACTGCACAAAATGTTGAAAAGAAGCTGAGAAAAATGATTTAGCATTAAACTAGATGAACACTTTCAAACAAGGATTTATACTTTGGATATTATAAATAAATTATTAGTTGTAATTAAAATTTTAATTGATAACTTTAAACTGGATAAAATAATATTGCAGCATTGTATTACTATATTCTGTATAATTGAACTTATTTTTATAGTTTTTAGTAAAGATGATTTATA